TAATTCAGGTACGTTTTCACATTCAGTTTACAACATGTTTATCAGTATGAGATTATGTTTATGTTTGATCGTTAAAATCAAAATTATTATTATTATTATTATTATTAGTTTTCCATCAATTGATATTAGAGCCGCCCATATTTGATTCATGTCTGTTTAATTTATAGAACCCTAATTATGAAAATTAGGATTAATTTTGTTTTAAACAATTCAAATTACCCAATTTTATGAACCCTAAGTGGAGAATAATCTCTAATTTTCGTGAACCCTAAAATTTAAATTTGGGGGTAACATCCCCAATCTGATTCTGCTTGCTGATGGAACCGTGGAGGAAGCTATGAATTCTTCTTCTTCTTTGTTTTTCCCTTTTGTTTCAGTTTAAGTTTCAAGTTTTACTGAGAAAGAAATAGTATTTCAAATTTCAATCTTTCTTGTATTGGGTTCTCTGTTCTTTTTTGAATCTTTTGTTTTTATTTAATTTTATGAGTTTGGAATTGGGGGTGGTGTTTGGGGAATTCCCAACATAGAGGATCTTAGGCAACTAGTGAATGTTTCCACATGTGTGGCTGTTATTATTTTATTGCCTCTATCCCCTAGGAATTTAAGGAAAATTTGATGTTAAATTAGGGTTTGAGTGATTACTGTTTAATCCCTTTTAGGGTTTAGAGCAGTGTGTTAAAGAGACTCAGAACTATCTCTGTTTCATCCCTAGTGTGATTTTAGGGAGATGTTCATCCTTTATGTATTGGTGGAAAATGAGGCCTTTTTTTCATCCTTTGATTTATTCAAATGAGGTGTTCATCCCTAATGAGATTTTAGGGAGGTGTTCATCCTTAGTAGAATTCTAATGAGGTGATTCTCTTTTGAATTAGTTTGCAAATATTAAATATTTGGTTTTGTTATATAAATAAAATATTCAATTTTTGGTAGTTTAATATTTTTTGTGAGCAAATTGAGTTAAGAAGTCACCAAAGTAACCTCTCTTAAATTGGGCAGTTCATGAAAAATATTGAATGTTAGTTTGTGTATATTCATGCGAGTATTAGTCGGCCCAAAGGAAGATTAATATTTGGCCGAATTGCATACACACTTGTAATGATAAACATGTGATAATTATAAGGATTTGCTTTGTCGATGATAAATCAATCCAAAGACTGGTTTGTTGTTGGACGTGCTTTATTGTCAATGTTTGATTATTACAACAAGATACCTCTAGCAGTTAATATTACTTGTCCAAAGACTTGATATTGATGGTGCATTGGGTGTCTTAAGATGGGTTAAACCACTATTTGAATTTATAATTATTTATTTTTTATATAATGTGAGCATAATTAGTTTATTTCTCGTGTTCTAAATTCAACTACAATTGCTTCTGTATCTACCAATTTAAAATTTGTTCTAATCCTCAAAAGTATGTTTCCTACTTTGGTCTGTTATGAAGTCAATTTAGCGTTAGTACCTAGTAACACTTGGTGGTTAGACTCAGGTGCAACTACTTACATCAGTGTTTCTATGAAGGGTTGCCTAAGCTACCGGAAGCCAATTGATTCTAAAAAAAAATGGATATATGTTGGAGATGGCAAATCGGTAGAGGTGGAAGCTATAGGACATTTTAAATTGTTATTGAGTACTGGTTTTTTATTTGGATTTGAAAGACACTTTTGTTGTGCCGTCATTTAGACGGAATTTGGTTTCAGTTTCTTATTTGGACAAATTATGTTATTTGTGTTCATTTGAAAATAATAAGTTCAATTTGTCTTTTAATTCATATATTGTTGGAACTGGTTCACTTTTGATTTATGATAATCAGTATTTACTTGATATTGTGGCCACCTATAATGAAACTCTTAATACAGAATCACGTGGAACTAAACATAAAATTGAAAATACTCATTCAGGTGCATTATGACACAAGTGCTCAAGTCACAATCGAATCATGGCGCTTGAGTTTGTGTTACACTCTTAAAGATATGATAAGGAGTATGATTTGTCATTCCACCTTACTGGAATCACTTTGGGGAGAAACACTAAATACGACAACTTATATTCTAAACAGTGTACCAATTAAAGCAGCTACCAAAACACCTTATGAGCTTTGGACTGGGCGACAACCTAGTCTGAAACATTTTCATGTGTGGGGTTGTCCAGCTGAGACAAGGCCTTATAAGTCAAATGAAAAGAAATTGGACTCCTGAACAGTAAGTAGTTATTTTATTGGTTATGCTGAAAGATCCAGGGGATATAAATTTTATGATCCCACATTAAAGACAATTTTTGAGACGGGAACTACTACTTTCTTTGAGGATATTGAGTTTGGGGGGAAGAATAAGATTAAGAACTTCATCTTGGAGGAAGAATCGGTAACAATTTCAGAACCGATTCAAATAGTTACTTTTGATAAAGTAAGTTCGGAACCTCCACAAGGCATTGTTGATGAACCCCTTACTCAAGATGATTTGGTTGTTCATGAAGAACAAACTCAAGATCCTCAAGAACCTGTGCATCATGAGTTAATAACTTTGCAAAGATCCACTAGAGAAAGAAGAAGTGCTATTTCGGATGATTACATGGTATTTCTTCAGGAACATGAGGAAAATAATGATATAATGGAAGATGACCCAGTTAACCTCTAACTAAAGGACTTCCGCCCAAGGTCTTTCATGAGCATGTTGCTCACATAGGTGTTTTACAGTTTGAGGAATTTGTGGTTTAGTGGGAGTTAGTCACTTTCATATATTTTATGTTCTATGTTTAATTTCATATATGTATACATTGATTTTTGGACATATTTGGTTATCTATAGATATGCGGTTTTTTCGTTCATTCATTACACTTTGTACAGTAAGGATATTATATCGATCTCGATAAGTTAAAGTTTGGACCAGTTGAAAATAGACGTGTACAGATCACCTTCACGTAATTTTTCATGCTACACATTTCATGATGAATCCATGTCATTTGGTTATGTTAGGATGAGTAATCATTGTTGGTTTTAATTACGATGATGCAATGAAAAGTTGGTTTTGTTCTATATCCTGATATGATTAATGGACAGGACTTTTAGAGTATGCTAAAGGAATATAATGGCAATTTTGAGCTCATAAAGTCTAACACATTTGTAAGGTTGTATGGACATATATATTTGTGACCAGCGGGAGATTGTTGGCAAAATTTGGGTCATGTATATATATGATACATAATTTAAATGTGTTAGGATCATTATTTATTAAGCCAAATAATAAAGTGATCTGACTAAATTAAAGTTTTGGCTGAAGGCATATGTCATGAAAATAAAATTGTGTAGAGACCATTGAGTAATTTCTAATTTGATGAGGGGCCAAATTGGAAATACTAAAACTTAAGTAATTAACCTAATTTTGGTATTTTAAAGGGTCATGGTCCCCTTCTGGGAGCACACACACAGAACGTAAGTATCAGTCTCGTTCTTTTCTTTCTATCCCCATTAAGAGAGAAAATCAAGAGGGAAATACAGGTGCTCTTCAGGTGGAAGATCATAAGATCAATATAGTGCTCTACAAAGACATCATCGTTATGGCTAATTCAGGTACGCTTTCGCATTCAGTTTACAGCATGTTTATCAGTATGAGATTATGTTTATGTTTGATCGTTAGAATCAAAATCAATATTATTATTATTATTATTATTAGTTTTCCAACACTTCAAATCTAATCTAATGGAATGAATTTAATAATATGTTAAAATGGAATAAGTGAATATAATTAGGTTTGATGTAACAACCAAAAACTATAAATACCATATATGATTTAATTCTTCTTTATTATGGATTTTAGCCTCGTGTTGAGGTGAACGATATCATGATTGAGATTGATAATTTCTTGGAAGAGACCGAGTTAAAAGATGAATTTGCATTTTTACCTATGCATTTTATTTTATGAAATTCTCCATTTCGTTTTTATGTTTCTACTCTATTATGTTGAATTTCTTAATATTCCTCCTCTACATCTCTTCTAGATTTTAGATTGTTGATGATGTCCTCGACACTCATGGTAATAATGATAAATTTGTCTAATTTGTGGTCTAATTTATATTTCATCGAGTCCTATGTGGGTACAAAAAATATTCTTACAAAAGAATGGAATGACAAATGATTATTTGATAGCTCGAATTTAATTAACTTTAAACATGTCATACAGATCAGGAGCTCGACTTTAACCACGAGCAAGAAAATCAATAATTCAATTTTAGACACGAGGAACTCGACTTTGACCATGACAAATAACTCATACTATCTATTCATGAACAAGTTGAACTCTCCAATATGATCATGAACCCGACCAAGTAAATTATAAGTGTTTTAAAAAATGAGGAATATCCACCTATAAATACATTTTGATACTTACGTCAACAATAATTATATATATATATATATATTTATTTATTTATCATAATAATAAATATATTAAATGTAAAAATTATATAATTTATGCTCTTCTTATTATAAATATTTTAAATAATAAAAATATATTTAATGATAATTATTTTTTTAATGTCGTATTAATGATTAAATAATTCATTATCTTATTAAAAATTTATTAATTGGATATTAATACTTATTAATTCGAAAAATTATTTCAATTATATATAATCATCTTATTAATAATAATAATAATTATTATTATTATTATTATTATTATTATTATTATTTTATTTTGGTCAAGTTGACAACTCTTTCATGCTGTAAGAACTCATTAAATTTTATAATAATAATAATAATTATTATTTTGTTATTTTAAATTTTGATAAAATTATTTAAATATTATTAGTGTAGATGGATTTAACATGCTACAGTAAAAAGTTGTACCAAATTTACATATACTATAAATATTAAAAAATTACAATGAGTACACTGATACTTGTACTACCAGTCATAACAACTAATTTATTACATCTCTAACATAAAAACAACAATGAAAACGTTGTCCTACTATAAGTCGGCTATAAACATCACAAGACTTTTTTTACTCTTCCTTCACTTCTCCAATGAAAACGTTTTTTATATGTGATATTTTTGGCCAAAACTCTCCCACATGGGGTTGAAATTTTCTGCATAATTCAGGACAACCTTCAATCCTCAAACTTTCAAGTTTCGTGAGATGATCATGGATGTTATCTGGGAGAGACACAAACTTTGGACACTCTTCTATAGCAAGTGTTTTTAGATTAGTTAGACTTGACAGCCACTGCGGAAGCATTTCAAGATTCTCACAGTTTGAAATATACAAGGACTGTAAGGACTTGGCTGTTTCTTTAAGCCATTCAGGCAAGGTCACCAACTGTGGTAAAAACGAAAATCCAACAGATTTTAACTTCAACTTGGGGCTTTGTTCTTCATGGTGGTCCCTCACCAGTTCAAAGTTCAAATTATCACAGTGTGCAACACACAAAGTTTCTAATTTAGGAAAATTGTTAACATCCAATGGCAGAGACTTTACACTATTACAGCTGAAAACATTCAATGTTTTAAGAGCGGGGAATTTCACCCCTTCGAAGACACCCTCCAGATTGTGGCTTAACATAATAGACAAAAATGCAAGAGAACTCAAGTTGGTAATCTCATTGTCAGGCAAAGCAGATTGCTTTGTGGTTATCCCCAAATGCCTTAGACTGATCAATTTTCTTAATCCTTCGGGCAATGCTTCCAGCTCCTTGCATCCCTCAAGTTTCAACACTAGCAAATTTTGGAGATTGCAAATAGAATCAGGGAGTCTCTTAATATTGCTATTATTCATAATGCTTAGATATCTCAGGTGTCTCAGCTTACCAATAGATCGCGGCAAAGTCTCGCATGTTGAATAACTTAAATCCAAAACTCGCAAGTATTTGAACTTTGACGCACAAGTATTTAGCAAAGCTTCACTGTTGGCTCCTTCTGCACCATTTGGGAACAGTATGGTTCTCACAGCTACTGATTTTGTTGTGAGTAAAGCGCCAAACAAATTGCTTTCAGCAATAGACATATGTTGAACATTCTCAGGAATATTTTGAATGTGGGAATTTATAAAAAGAGACTCATCTTTTGCAACAACTAGAGCAAGATCGTGCACTAAATCATGTATTCTAAATCTATAAAAAGTGCCATAGTTGACAAAATCTTCAAGAAATGATCTTGACAGTAGTTCATACAAATATTGATTGGCAACATCTTCCAGTGTACTATTCTTTTTTGGTGATTCAAGGAGTCCAAGTGCTCCCCAAAGTGAAGTTACCTGAAAACTGTTGTAGTATTCATAATCCTTTGGGTAAAGGGAGAACAATGCAAAACATTGCCTCAAATAGGATGGCATGTGATCATAACTTAATTTAAGTGCAGATAAAATATCATCCTTTTTCTGTGGCAAATTCCAAATTTCATTGTCCCTCACATATTCCCACTCATTTGTCTCATATTTAAAAAATAGTAAACTCCCAAGTGTTCTCACTGCCAATGGGACCCCTCTGCATTTCTTCACAATTTCTCTCCCAATTTTTATCAAATCAGGGTATTTTTCCTCTTCCCCCCCTTTAAATGCCCATTTAACAAACAAAGACAATGAATCCTCTAGAGAGAGGCCTTTTAAAATGTGAGTGGGAACTGTGCCCATCATGGAAGTAATGGAATGACTACGTGTAGTCACTAGAATTTTACTTCCTGCAGCACCTACTTCTATCAGATTCCTTAACTCAACCCATTTAACACGGTCTTCATTCCATACGTCGTCCAAGACGAGCAGGAATTTTTTACTGGAAAGTTTGTTGGTCAGTTGATTTTGCAATTGCTCCAGATCCAACATCTTCAAATTCTGTTGGTGAGGAGGAGCATCAGCAGAAGCTAGATCATTGGCAGAATTGATGATTTTGATAATCACTTGCTTAATGTCAAAGTCATGAGAAACACACGCCCACATCTTTAATTGAAAACACTCCTGGATCCTGTTGTCATTGAACACAAACTTTGCAAGTGTAGTCTTTCCCAAGCCTCCAATCCCCACAATGGAGACAACAGAGAGACTTGCATCGTTATCATTAGGATTCTGCTGCAGCAAAACCTTTATTATCTTTTCTTTATCTTGTTCCCTTCCTATTACATCTGAATCCCTCACACGGGAGTGAGTCATTTCTCTAATATGCACGACACGTGTATCAACATCAATTTTTTGAAGACCAAACTTATTCCTACTATCTGCAACCTTGTCTAGTCTCTGGGTGATATCTTTAATTTGTTGAGCCATCTTGTAACGAAAAACAAGTGGATTAGAGCTTGAGAAGAAGTGACTTACCTTCTCTTTGGTGTTGCCATGAGTTTTGACCACTTTCTTTCGCAATGTTTGGCACTCAAATTCATCCAACACATCTTCGGCATCGGAGAAGACAGTTTTGAGCTGAGTGAGCCATCCCCGCAGCTCATGGTTGTTCTCCTGCTTTTGCTGAGCATCTAACAGGACAGCCTTGACTAAAGAGAGAGTGTTGTTAAGGTCTCGAAGATTATCGTATAAACCCACCACTCGAGAAGCTTCTTCAAATGCATTAGAAGCAAGCTTTGCTACGAGTGACTCCACCATGTTGAAAAGGAATGATACTGCCATGTTCAGAAAACCAAAAACCGGAGATCTGAATAACGCAAAACTCTTCTTCCTCTAATTAACGTCTGCACCTACCGGAACTTTTTGTGTGTAGACAGGGATGGCAAAACGCGTTTTGGTCCAGCTTTTGGCCACCAAAACACGGGACGAGACGCTTGTGATTAACGGGACGACACGACCGTTATAGTAGATCTTAGTCCGTCCGCCGAAGGATCGGTTGACGGTTGACTCATGATAATTGTTTTCAAATTAATTTATTTATGTTTTTAAATTAAATTCTAATCCTCTTTCAATTTTCTCAGGTTAATCAAAAAACAATTCTAAATACATGTTACAAATATTTCATATTCTGAAAACACAATTTTTTTTAAATATAAAAATCGTATGTTGATATACGATTTTAATATTTTTATTATTTTTTATTAAGGTATTATTTTTAAATAGCCAATTAATTGATTATTTTAATTATTATTTTAGGTTTGTTTTATGTTTTAATTATTAAAAAATATTTATAAAAAGTTATCAATAATATATAATATATTTTTAAATATATTAAATTATTAAAAAATATTAATATGGTGATAAAGAAAATATAAATATATTATAAAAAAAATAAAATTTGACATTTTGATTCTCAAAACTTGACAATTATCATAATGATAATCTTTGTTTCATATTCTTAAATTGTTTTTTGGAAATTAGGGACAATACATTAAATGCATTATAACGAAATTAAGGCAAATATTTTCTTAATCTAATGCATTTGAGATATTGTTTTTAATTTCAACAAGAAAATAAAAAATATGGAATGAAGGTGATCATTATAATATATTAATATTTTCTTTATTTTCATATTAATATTTTTATTTTAATAATTTAATCTATTTAAAAAATGTTTAATATTGTTGATGTCTAAATATGTAAAAATTACTTATTTTATCAATTATAAAATTAAAATGAATTTTTAATAATTAAAAATAAAAACAAATCTTAAAAAAAACTGACTAAAATTGTTAATTGATTGTCTACTTAAAAAAATCATAACTAAAGTCATATATTACTGCACCACTTCAATAAGGTTAATAATAATAATAAAAAATTATTCAAATAATATATCAGTATATGACTTTTACATTACAAAGAATGTAAAATCGTATTTTAGAATACAATTTTTTTATAATGAAATCGTATTAAAAAAATACAATTTATTTATATTCGAAATATCTTTTAAATTTATCCATTTTGAAGAAATTAAAAGGAATTACCCTTCAAGTAAATTGGCCTAAAAATGGCATATAATATATATATATATATATATATATATATATATATATATATATAAATTTATTTTTTTGCAACGTTTTAAATTTAAAGGTTTGATTTTTATTTTAGTAATTTAGGTTTAAACTACCAATTTAGTCAAACTGTAACTATATTAAATTGTTCATTGAAGCTAATAAAATGATAAAATCTCAAAGTTTTAATTAATTATCTCAAATTGATTTTTAAAATGAAAAATAACAAAATGATTCATGAAATGGAACATCATCAATCAATTTTATCTTTAAAATTATGATAAAAATAAAATTATCATGGAAATAATTAAAATGAAAAAAAATCTTTAAAATCATAACTTGTTAATCAATTTAGTCATTCAAATTTTAATAATAAATCCTTCATAATTTGTCTGATTATGATAATTCCACATATTCATTTTATAACTTCACGTACGTATAACTACTTTTAATGCATTAAATGTTAATTTTTTTATACCACTAGTTTTGTTTATTGTGAAGTATATTAATGAAATGTTCACATCTTTTCATTAAACTGAATATATTTATCGGATTTTTTGAATTATCGAAAAATAAAATTTAAATTTATGACATTATTAATTAAAACTAATTAAATTAATTATTTTTTATTTTATATAAAACTTGAGATAATATGTTTTTTTATTTTTGGATGAATGGGATTTTCTTTATAAAAAATATTTTTAATGATCAACATTTTTTTCTTTTATTTATCGTATATTTTCGTAAAGTTGTGTAATGACATAATTACTATTATCATTTATAACAATATATAATAAGAATATTTCTAAGCCCTATGTTATTAGGGAGAACAAATTGATATTATTGCATAAACGTAAGAGGGAGCAAGGAAAAGAAGAGAAGAATGAGGTAATATTATTGTAACAACACTATCACCTTTTAAATTTTCATTATACTTTCCATTAATTATAATATTCTAGCCATTTATTATACTAATTTAAGTCAATTATTAATCAAAATAATTTTGTTTTTTTCAAAAGAATAAAAAAATAATTTTTTTACACTTTTTATAAAATAACTTAATTTAAAAAATCATAATCTATCTTTGTAGACCCTCACTTACTTACGTAGTTTAGTAATATTAATGGAAACACATACATTAAAATATTAAACAACCCGCATGTTTATATTTTTTATATTATTAATTTTTAAAATAATTATTTTTTTAAAATTTTATTTTTTAATATATATATATATATATATATATATATATATCACTTTTTTTCTATTATATATTTGTTACACCTTTTCATGTATTATTGTTATCTCTCCTCTCTTTTTTCTTTCCATTCTTTAAATATATCTCATATTTTTTTTATTCATTATATATGATTTTTTTCTGACACAAAAAAATGTTTTAAAAAAATCTAGTTATATATAATACAGGATAATTAATTAAAGAATTAAAGTCATTTTTAATTTTATATTATCATTTTTTTGGGATTAAGATATGATATCATAATTTAAATATATTTTTTAAAAATATAATTAGATTTTTCTCTTATGTTCCTTTTTTTGTCACTAAAATATTTATTTGCTACACCATTCTTAATTTTATTTTAACTTATTAAGTTATTCTTGAAATATTTTAAAATTTTAAAATTTTCTTGAAATTTTCTTATGACCCTGAAAATTTTTTTATCATTTTTTTTCACAAAATAGTGACCTGCCTAGTTAACAAAATTAATGTATGAACAGAGATAATGTACAAAATAAAAATAATTAAAGGATAAAAAAAGAATAAAATTATTAGGATCCAAAAGAAGGAAGAACATATTTGGACTTTTTTTCATAAATAATACTGTTTTTAAAAATATTTTCCAAAATAGCACCTCTGCAACTTTATTTACACAACTAGCACTATTTACTGTTCACGGATTAAAATAATATTATTTCGTGCAACTATTTACTGTTCACGTATTAAAATAATATTATTTTGCGCAATGAACTCTCGCTCAAGCGAAGAAACCCTTCGCTTGAGCGAGGAAATCCGTAAGAAAGGGTTATTTCCGGTCAACACTCGCTTAAGCGATAGATATTTCGCTTGAGCGATAAGTGATTAAAATATGTGGTGACCCAAGTTGCGTTATGTGGCTAACTGCGTTGGACGTTTAGCCAAATAATGCAACTTGGGTCACCACATATTTCAATCACTTTTCGCTCAAGCGAAATATCCGTCGCTTGAGCGAGAGTTGACCCGAGACTTTAGATAGCGGTTCTAGAACTAACCGCAATTAAAAATATATTTTAGATAGCGGTTAACGTGGAACCACTATTATATGTTCACTTCTAAGAGCGGTTAAAATATTAACCGCTCTTAAAAGTGAGACAAATAGTTGGACCGTGGGCAACTCTCGCTCAAGCGAGACACTCATCGCTTGAGCGAATAAATTGATAATCGATTATAACGTGAAATAATCGATCATAGTTTTAAAAATAATTGACATATAATAGCGGTTCCACGTTAACCGCTATGTAAAATATACTTTTAATAGCGGTTGTTCTAGAACCGCTATCTAAGGTCATTCAAAGCAATGAACTTCATTATAAATAGACTACTTTCATTCTTTGAAGTTCTCACATTGCACACTCCTAAATCTCTGAAGCTATTTGCATTATTTCTTCTTCTTACCTTTAGTCTTCTTTGTGTTCCACACTCCTAAAATGTGTGTAGTGTCTACTATTGTCCACTATGATGGTTTCATGAACCCATGTCCCATGGAGGGAGTGACCTTCAATACTGAGACTGCAAAACTTGTTCCTTTAAAGAGAGGAATTTCTCTACAAAGGTTGAAGAAGTTGATCCACAAGAAATTGGAGAAAGAACCCCACGAAAATGTAGCAACCATCCATTTTCGCTGTCCAACTAGACTCGGAGTTGGGATCAACAACTTCATTGCTGTTGAGTTAAAAGATGATGACGACGTGGAAGCCATGTTCGATGTTCATGATTCAAACTCAAGTCTATGTGGTATTGAAATTTTTGTTTCATTTAAAACTTCTTCTTCTTCATACCCCAACACACACTCACCAGAAATTTCACCCTTACCCTACCAAGCTTTCTCAAACACTCACCCAGAAATACCCACACACTATTGATGCACATATCAGTCATACAACTCAATATAACAAGAATGACCAACCATCAGTCAAGAAATTTTAATCGATTGTTTCGTGTTTTAATCGATTGATATACTGCAAAACTTTCTTATAAAACTTTCCAAGTTATTTTAGCTGATAAAAAGAAGTTTTAATCGATTAAAACTTTGTACACAATTTTTCCAAGTTGTTTTAATCTATTGAAATGAGTTTTAATCGATTGAAACAGATCTGATCGGTCATAATTCAATTCTGATCGATCATAACCAACTCTGATCGGTCATAACTTCATTCTGATCGATCATTCTGACCCTTTAAGTGATTTTAATCCATTGAAACGTGTTTTAATCGATTGAAATAAGTTCTGATCGCTCATATTTCAAATCTGATCGGTCATAATGGGTTCTACAGGGTTTTGTATTGATTAAAATACTGTAAAAACACTTCTTTGATCATTCTAAGCCACTCCACAGAATTGATGCTTGACAGCCCCACAACCTCAAGCACTTTAACCCTGAGTAACCAACCAACCATCAGTCAAGAAATTTTAAATTCTCTTTACATACTATC